GAAGCTGAAACTATGAGTGTCCAGTATAATTTATTTTTATTGAATTGGAAATAACATAAGAAAACTAACCGCTTTAAAGTGAACAATTCAGTGGCATTTATTGCAATGTTGTATAACTACCCATCACCACCAAGTTTCAAAATAGGTACAATTTTTAAAAAAAAAAGCAACTTGTAAAATTGAAATGAATATAAACTGTGTTTGTACATAACTCTTGATTTACTTGTAGGGAGTTAGAAATTATATGTTCTGTCAAAGTAACAAACTCATTATAACGATCACAGTTAATAAACATATCTTTCTCTATAAAATTTTCACACCCATATCTTTGATATCATTTGCTATATCTTGAACTATAAAGGATCAAAACTAATAAGGAACAAAATATGCCAGAGAAAATTGATTGCTTTGTTACAAAAGGAAAACAGAACTACAGTCAATGTCAATATTTGATTCAGCATTTCATGAAATTTGTAAAACTTAAGTCAAACTGTCTTCTGTAAGAAAATTTTCACTACATAAAAATAAAGTATATAAATATTCACTCACCCTCAAAGAGAAAAGAAAATGATCTGACCAAAGAGGGAAGGTGGTTTTCATCTCATCTGTTGAGCCTTATGGATAATAATAATATGCTGGGGATATATATTATATTATATTGTATGTGTATATATGTGTGTGTTTGTGTGTGTATGTGCTTTGCCCTAGAAAATTCTCCTGTGTAGTCAAAAAGAAAAAAAAAACTGTAAGAAAATGTTAGATATCAGTTCTCCCTGGTGGCCTAGGGGTTAAGTCTTAATACTATTTACTCCTATGGCTCCCAGCCAGGGAGCTAAACCATATGTGAACAGCAGACCTCACCTTTCTTGATTGCTACTTCCCTTAGCAGTGTATTTCAGTAGATCTACTTGTTCTGCTCCCCACTGTCTCCGGTGAATCCTCTAACCCTCTGTACCTCTGGCCTAACCCCCTATGCAAACAAGAAATAATAATAATAATTATTATTATTAAAAATAAAAAGTTAAGTATTGGTTTGTTCCCAATTTTCCATTCCCTGACATGATCAGTGATGGTTAAAAGTTAGATCCAGTGGAGTCATAGAACTTTACAAGAACAAGGTAAAATCATATAAGTAAAGTATATTTGTGAATAATCAGAAAAAGTTGAATCAGGATATATCTAAACTGGTTAAGAAAATCATTGAATCATTGAAAAAATGAAAGGGAGTATAGAGGCTGTTTCAGATAGATAGGTATGAAAAGGTCTGTCAATTCATTAAAGATAGCATAATCTGTGTAATTCAATTTTGACTAAAAATAAAACGAAACAAAATATATGTGTTGATTCAGTACTACAGGTTTAGGATCGAGACAGGGGGATACTGTTAGACCTGTCCTTCAAAGAAATTGTATTCTTCACAGTCCTATATACACAATAAAATTAAATAAAAATATCATTTGGAGATGTGTTCCAATAATCGTCTAATTAAGAAATGCTGGGTGGGTGACTCGGAAGCATGACAGAGCACCATGGAGAAGCTGAGACTTGAATCAGGACAGTTTTGGGTTAGGTTGGAGGGATCGAGCAGGTCCATCATCCATTGAAGGGCTTTTCCTCTCATGGGAGGAAGCATGTTTTTATGTAATTTAGGCCTTGAAGCTTTCTTTTGAAAAATCCATGATGTAAGAATTCATTGACAAAAAAAATCATTATCATTTATATATACATTGTCGTCTCCAAAGATTGTAATCCGAAAATCAAACAACTGCTTTCATCATGGTATTAGATAGCAAAAATAAGTTAAATGAAAAAAAAAAAAGAAAAAGAAAAACACAGTATTAGATGAAAACTTAAATTCTACTTTTTCGGTCATAAAATTTGAGGTGCTGTAACAGGAGTTTTTTGTTTGTTTTTTTGTTTGTTTGTTTGTTTGTTTTCATTGACACTGCTTAAAAGGAAGCTGGGATATTATTAAAGTGGATCAGAAACACAAGTGTATTTTGACTTTGTTCTGACTAAATCCATTGTATATTGCTGCATCTCCTCTTTGCCCTGGTTGAATTACTGGCATTTACTTCCTTACTTTCTGTGATGGATTAATTGTGGCTGCAAATTCTTTGTCACTCCCTGCATTAAGATTAATTTCCCCTGTCAGGGAATCTCAGTGGGTACTGTGACTGTTTAACCAAAAGGATGCGGTGCAAACAACCTGTGTGGTTTGCAGAGTCAGTAGGAAGAATGGCAGTGTCTGTGTCCTCCCTCTTGAGGACAAGCTGCTCTCAAAACCCTGCTGCCATGCTGTGAGAAGCCTAGCCACATGGGCAGTCACATGTTGGTGCACCAGCCCCACCCAGCACAGCTCCCACCTGACATCTGTGTGTGAGCCATGTTGATGTTTCAGTCAGTTGCACCTCCAGTTGATTGCAGCCCCAGCTGATCCCCAAATGGAGCAGAAGAACCATGCAGCTGAACCTAGTAATCTTGCATTAGTGATTTAAACTATTTTAGGGCAATTTGACTCAATGCATAACTGAAATAGATTCCCAAAGAAAATCCTGGAATTGGGACACTGGAAGAATGCACTGCCTTTAAACTATAAATAGATAATATGTAAATGGGCTCCGGATGATTTTTATAACTCCTGAAAATCGTGAGGCAAATTTTATTTTATTTTAGAAACTAGACAACTTTTAGTTTGTTTATCAATTCCATTAATTCCTGTTCATTGTTATACTTTCTGGTCCACTTGTTCTTGGTTAAGCACAGCACTATGAAGTTATCCACAGCCATTGCAGCATGAGTTCAATCCCTGGCCAGGAAACTGACCCACATGATACTGCAGACCTCTTCTGTCTCCCCCACTGCTCCCCTCAGCAGTGTATTTCAGTACAACTGCCTGTTCTGTTCCCCACTCTGTCTCTGGTGAATCCCAATGGTAGATTTAACAGAAAATTCCTTGTATTCTTTAATTTGTGTCCTACTCCCTTTTTTCAACTACTTCTACCTTCCAATTACTAGGAAACAACTTTATAGGATGTTAACTCTTTTCAAGGTGATCTTAACAACACGGTACCCCATGATTTAGGAAAGATACCTCTAGGCAGAGCACATATGCAAACACTCTGAGTTGTATAGTCCAGGAAAAGAATAACAGTGGCAGCCCAAAGGATTCTGTCTCTGATGTGTTTGTCCTAGTCTTTGTGTTATACACTGCTTTCCTTTGGAAGTGTTAGAATCTAATATGACAGAGCACTGTCCATGAATTTCTTTGTCTGCTTAATATGATTCTGATTAATGATTAAAGTGAAGTGAGCAGTTCTTGATGGTGCCAGTTAAGTGGCACTTTTCCTAACTATACCTGCCTGACACAGAGCTACCTGAACCCCATTTTGGTTTTGAAATTAGATGATCTTGGTCTTCAACAAAATGCCAATTTATTGTATTTGAGCAAAGAATTTGGGGTTTAAGTGCCACATATTAACTGGGTAGTCTTTGAAGACATTGTAATTGCATATTTACCTGCTAGCTTTGTTTTTTCACATTTTAATGGATGTTGCTTACTAAAATCATACCATCTCTCAGTTTGGATATTTTAATTGCTTCAGTATAGATTTTCTGCAATATGAAATTTCATATTTATTCCTAGAATCTTTAAGAAAACTCTTACAGCTTTAAAAACAAATAGTTAATGCTAGAATTAGGCATAGGAATCATTTTAAAATTCTAGTTATCAGTGTACAAATGCAGGATTAGAGAGGTGAAATTAGGGTAACTCATTTTGTCAGAAGCTTTTCAGAATCATAATTAAAATTATGCAAACTGGCTTAGACTTTTGTTAGGTTCTTTTGTTACATTTTAAGATAGTAATACTGTTTGCATCACTTCTGATTATAGAGTAATTTCACTTTGAAGAAAATGATAATATTCTTATCTCATGCACACATAACGCTTAAAAATATTTCAAAACCGTGGGAATTGTGCTTTATAGAATATAATATGATTAAGGCGGATTTTCTCATGATGAACTCTGAATTTTATTGCTTCTGAAATTCATATGATGGCATGCAGAGTAGATTTAAAGAGAATTTTTAAGACTCCGATTGACACAGGTGAACAAAATGGTTCCTTGGATAGCATTTGGGTGTCCAGTCACAGTAAAGCATGAATTGAGGGTTCAGGTGCACGTGCTGTGTGCTAAAATGCAGTAAACAGGAGATTCAGGGGAGTCTGTGCTCTATTAAGGACAATGCATTTATTCTGCTGAAGACTGCTGAAGAGGGGAAAATCAGCATTAAAAGGATCTATAAGTAAAGCTACTGAAACCTAACCCAAAAGGCAAGCTCTTATAGAAAACTCGTTTTAATACTTGCAGTGCGGTTATAGCTGAGGACTTGTGGTATATATTACAGCGTCCAGGGAATTCATCCTCCGCAGTGTGGAGTCACCATGAAGGCTAATTTCAAAATGAAGAACTAGTACCTTGGCTCGTCTTGTATCTCTGTTACTTACCAGTTTTTCTTATTAGCTCTACCTCAGTCTAGGACTGCGTAGGTAGGTGGGAGAATGAAAATTTAAAGGGCACAAGAGTGGGGATCTATGAACCTCTATCCCCTTCCCAGAAGCTGCTTCCTCCAACATCCACTCAGCACTTGGCACTGGGCTTTACAAAGTCTTACCCAATCCTTGCAAAAAGGGCTGAAGGCAGAGCTGTCCATGGTTAGAAAAAAATATTCTGATGGTTGAAAATCAGGTAATAACAATCCTCTTGGTGAGCAAAACTTATTAGAGGGCTAAGGAAGGAATGCTATCTCTCAGCAGCAGGCAGGGAGAAATTGCTGTTGAAAAGCTTACCTCTCCAGGGAGGAATCAGATATCAGACTTTGCCAAGCCTCAGGTCCAACCCATAAGGTCCCACCTACCTCCCCCGCCCCATCCCAGCTTTGTTAGATTGCTAACATCGATCGCTGGCTTTTTCTGACCCAACAGTGGGTGAAGGAAAAGAGAGCCAGCAAGACTAAAAACAAGCAAGGTGGGGGTGGAAAACTGAGGCAGCTTTTTCAGAAAGAAAAAGAGAAAGGGAAGAAGGGGGTGGGGGCCGTGGGGACTAAGCTTAACTGGTGTCTGCCTGTTTCTCTTTGATTTGATGGCCTTGATTCCTTCTAATTGGATAAAATAGGAAGTCACTGGCAGTCCTGTGATGCTGGGTATACTGATTTTACTCAGACCAGCCGGCAGCTCTAGAGTGTGGCTATAGTGGGGGTTGGGAGTTGGGGAAGGAGAGGAAGAAAGAGAGAGAGAAGCAGAGAGAGAGGCAGAGAGAGAGAGAGAGAGATCTCTTTGGATGAGGAGTGGAAAGAAAGAGAAAGACTGTGAAGAAGCCAAGAGCTGCAGAGGAAGAAAGTGAATGAGCGCTCAAGAAGGACAAAGAGGAGTGGTTGGGGGTGGGGGTGGCGGCGGGGCAGGGAGGGGAGTCACCGCCCCTCTTGGCCACACTCTTGCCTTCAGATCCCCTCTGTGATGCTACTGTTTGCAGTGATGCTTGGAGGGCAGGCACCTGCTGCTCTGTAATGATTCAGCCTCTTTCAGCCTTCGCGTTAACACAACAGGATGCTGTTGCTACTGTCACTGCTGCCTCTCCTGCCGCCGCCGCTGCTGCCGCCGCCGCCGCCACCGCTGGTCCTGCTTTTGCTTTTACTTCTCCTGCATGACAGTTGTTTTCTTCATCTAAGCAGACAGCAGCTTCAGATGCTGGAGGTGAGAAACATACCTTTCAGTTTGGGCTACTGGTTTACTTAATCCACCAACAGCCAGCTCGGCTTCTATTTCCGCCCCATCCTCTTGACCAGCCGGGATGGTTTGGAGAAGCATTTAAAAGAACTGCAAAAGTGGCCCAGAAACAGCAGTAAAGAATTACAATTTACTTTTATTTGGTAGTTGCTAGAGGCGTTTTTTCCTGCCTTCTTCCTGAACTCCTTTTGCTTTGATAATGGCCTTGGACTTGGACGACTTATCGATTTCCCCCTGTAAGATGCTGTATCATTTGGTTGGGGGGGGCTCTGCATGGTAATGGACCGTGAGACAGGCCAGGCCTTCTGGAGGTGAGCCGATGGAGATCTATTCCCCAGACATGTCTGAGGGAGCTGCGGAGAGGTCCTCCAGCTCCTCCACTCAGCTGAGTACAGACCCATCTCTTGATGGGCTTCCGGCAGCAGAAGACATGCCAGAGACCCAGACTGAAGACGGGAGAACCCCTGGACTGGTGGGCCTGGCGGTTCCCTGCTGTGTGTGCTTGGAAGCAGAGCGCCTGAAGGGTTGCCTCAACTCGGAGAAAATCTGCATTGTGCCCATTCTGGCGTGCCTGGTCAGCCTCTGCCTCTGTATTGCCGGCCTCAAGTGGGTATTTGTGGACAAGATATTTGAGTATGACTCTCCTACTCACCTTGACCCTGGGGGGTTAGGCCAGGACCCTATTATTTCTCTTGATCCAACTGCTGCCTCAGCTGTGTGGGTATCATCTGAGGCACACACTTCACCTGTCTCTAGGGCTCAATCTGAAACTGAGGTTCAAGTTACAGTGCAAGTTGACAATTCTGTTGTGTCCTCTGAACCTTCAGCACCACCAACCCCGAAGAATCGTGTTTTTGCTTTTTCTTTTTTGCCATCCACTGCACCATCCTTCCCTTCACCTACTCGGAACCCTGAGGTGAGAACACCCAAGTCAGCAACTCAGCCACAAACAACAGAAACTAATCTCCAAACTGCTCCTAAACTTTGTAAGTAGAGAGAGAGAGAGAGAGAGAGAGAAAATGTTGATGATAAAGAAAGGGGTGGGCTTGAGGTCCTAAAAGATGTTCTCTAGAGCACGAAGGGTTTGCTATCCTGCTTGCGTTTAATTGCATGGTTTTGTTGAAGCTTGTCACGTGACTGGGATGCGCAGGGTGGCATCGAATAGAGTAAAAGGATCTTGTAAACTGCTGGTATGAATCAGTGTTCTAACAGCAGCTCCCTGTAGCAGGATTGTTAAAGTCAGGAGTGGGAGACTCAAAACTTTAGCTTTGTGAGTCATTCTTGAATTTTAAGTTAAATTCAGTTTATTTCTAACACTTTAGACAAATAAAACATCAGACCACCCTTTATTTATTTATTTATTTTTTGTTTTATAAACATGTGACTCCATACAGCAATGAATGTGATTTTGTGTCTTTCTCTTGCCTGTGGTAGGCTGCCAGTCATCTCCTTTTTTGTGACCCTCAGCCTTTCAGCAGCCCCAGGTTGCCTGTTATCTTTTCTTCCTGAGCTTTTACCCACTTCTCCCCACATTTGTATTTTAATTGATTTTTCCTGATATAGTAGCCAGGCTTGAGGTAGTCACAGTGCTCCTCTCTCATCAGCAGCTGACGTGCTGTCCTGTCCAGGTTATAGTTTTGGGTCCTGAGACTTATGAGGAACAGCTTTATTTTGGTCAGGACACAGTGCAGTTCTGCATAAAAAGGCTTTTCCCAAATTAGTCTTGTCTGCTATAATCAAATGCTTAAATAGCTTCGTTGGCAGTCATTAAAAAGTACAAGATCCATTAGTGAGGTACATCTTTTTTTTAAGGCATGTGTCATTTTTGCCTGTCAGACTGCAGCAACCCAGTTTAATAACCTGTGAGCAAGGAGCACCCATGCTCTTAAAACAATACAGAACAATGTAGCGCTGTGTGGACTGGGTCATCCAATGCTTTATAAAGGAAAGTCAGCAAGGCTGAAACCATGATGGGTCAGACCCAGATTATTCTATACATCCGTATAAAAGAAAGGCGTTTCAGATAGGTTTTTAAAAGAACATGTTTCGAATTTATTCTCTCTGTCGTCTATCACTTTTTGCCATTGATGAATATTTCTTTAGGAAAAAAGTAAAATATCAGAGGATTTGTACTTAACAACATGTATAAAACCTCTTAGAATTAAAGGAGTGCCCAGGGGAAGCATTTTGTAATGAAATACTGTTTCTATTTTCTGGTAATGAAGAGTATTTTTTCCAGACATTATGTTTGGTGTAAGTTATAGAAGTGTATTATAGAAAGAAACCCAGGAAAACTTCATGTGTACTTGTGATTCAGTATCATATCATACACATCAGTTTTAGTGGCAAAGATTTTTTTTTTAAAAAAGAGAGGCTTATTTTTCAGGTGTAATTAGGAAAGGACCTCCTTTCTGCAGACACTGCTTTGTATCTTTATCAAATCCCTGAAGCATCATTAAAGATCTGACAGACATCGCTGCTTTGGCTGCCTCTTCCCACCTGGCAAAGTGACCGGGAAATAATACCCAGATGAAATGACAGGCTATAAAAAGCAAGTGCAGATCCTGCAAAGAGAAGCAAAATTCACTGTGAAGACAAGGTTACTTTGTCTTTATCATTTAAAACTTAATTCTATAATTAAAATGTACCTGGGTAGATTTAGTTGTCCAGAAAAAGACAGGAGACCCTTTGAAAAAGTCTTCAACAAAATTTTATAATTTTGTCATCTGAGGAAACTAAGATACATTCAGCACATATCCTTGATGTAGGACCATGTCAAAGAGTATCTTGAGATGTTTTGAGAGATTATTTTTAAGGTAAATTCTTCTACATATTATAATAGATGATACGACCCATATCATTTTTCTTGGTTTTTTTTTTTTTTTTTTTTTTCCTCCTAGCCAGGGCATTGATTTTTGTGGCATTTGCATTGAGTGGACAAGATTTACTGCTGCCTAAAAGCATTGCTACCAGCCAGTTCTGGCCAGACACAGCTGCAGCTTCTGAATGCGCTGGAGATAAGCCTGGAAAAGCAGTCTGGGAAGTGGCTTTCTCCTGAAAAGTTAGGGGTAGACACTTGGTTAACACTTTACTACCTAGAAGGTTTCCTGAGCAGGACTCCTGTTGTTAATTTTAGAGAAGGATCAGTCCAGGGAGCTTTACTTTCAGACTCATAGAGGTTGTTTTTGTTGTTTAAAAAGCTTATAGCTATCAAGTAGAGAACAGCCCATAAATTAAAAATCTTAAGTTACGTTCTTTTACTATTTTTTCTTCAACTAAGAAAGTGTTTCTTAGTCACCAAAAGAACTAGACCTGTCCTTTCATTATGCATATTTTTGGTTTTTGACATGAGCTAAGTTATAGTGACTTATATTTTAAAATGACATTATCATATCTGAAACATGCTCTTCAGGGGCTTCAGGACTTTATTCTCCTTTTTGCTCTGTCTCAGCATATTCAGTGTATTATGCACAGAGCAGTAGCCTTCAAGGTCATACTCTATTGAGGGCTAATTGATTCTTCTTTATTCTGGAGCCTGAAGAGAGTGGAAGAGATGCAGTCCCAGTAAATGTGTCTGCTGTGTTACTCCCCAAACCAATCTACTTACTAGTAGCAGGGTTTTATTCTATAAATACTGGAATGATTCCTTCTTCACTGATGCTTTTAAAAATAAAATATTCTTTTATTAGAAGGCAAAATAAAACATTTTAAATTGCCTGTAGGTATTTCCTAAAATGGGTATTTCTTTTTTGTGTCATATTTCCTAAAATGGGTATTTCTTTTAGGAGGCAATATAATTTCAAGTTTTTTCCATATCACCATATGCATACATATAGATCTTAAGAAATCTGAGCCTGGAAATTTAAAACGTGTGTGTGTGAAGAAAAAATACTCTTTTTTCTTCATTACCAGAAAATATGTGTGTGTATACACATATATATACATGTATATATATATATGTATGTATATATATGTATATGTATATATATGTATGTATGTACATATATATACATGTGTATATATATGTGTATGTATATATACATATATATAATATACATGTGTGTGTGTATATATTCATTCATCTATCTTTATCTATCTATATATCTACCTATCTTATAGATCTAATTCTAATATTTTTCTCTGTGTGGTTTCCTACTACAACAATTGCTATACAACCATGATAATAAATTTCATTTTTTCATTGATGCACATAATATTTTAACCATTCTTTTGTGGGCTTTTTGTCTGGGCTTTTAAATTTTTCTTACCCTATTCTATACGGAAGGAACTAATTCTGGGAGATGGCAAACTTTGATTACTATAAAAAGGCTGGTTAATTAAGTTTAGCCAGGAAACTATAGTGTCTTCTTGAAAGAAAATATATTCCTGGATGGGAGAACCTGCTTGACAACAGACACTTGGGCTCAAGAATGTGCTTGTATTTTCATTTCAGGCTCCATTTATTTTGCTTTGTTTTAACCATTGTCCCCAGTGATGATATGATTCAACACCATTTAATAAAGCTCAACATAACAAATTGAATATATCAAAGGATTGCCTTCCTTAATTCCAAAAACAATATTCATTTTAGGCCTACTAGATTTTTCCTTTCTCCTTAAAACTTTACATGTGGGTATTTCAGAATAGTGTTTTAAAACAACTTTTTGTCATTTTAAAATGACATATTTGACTAAGACAGTAAAAACTGGAAGAAATGGAAGAAGCACCAATTTGAGCCAAGTGATTCTATAAATATATTGATAAAGATACAGAAGAAAACATGTCCCTGACATGGGAACATGATACTGGCTTATTACTGGCATAGTCATTCAAACTTCTGCCCCTCTTTTTTATGTCAGTGAAATTCTTTCATTTAAATTCATAAAACTCTGAAAGGTTTAGTCAAGTCTAAATTAGTTTTAAAAAGGAGCATTCTGTCTGCCAGAATTTAAAGTCACAGAGTGCTGTTTTCTCCTCTCCTCCTTTCCCTGTCCCAGAGAGTTCGAGCTAGACACAGACGCTGGCAGGTTAGCTGACTCTGACAGTTAGGGGAGCACTTCAGGTGTGAGCACTGTTCAAGTGTGTCACCTTCATGCTACTCAAATTGAATTTTCTTCTCACTCTTTTATTATTCAGTTTTCAAGAGTAACCGTCTTTTCCCTTTTAATTTGGATGTTTGCTCACTGCTAAACTTGCTTTCGAAAAGTGGCTTTTCTAGGATGAACTCCTCCCTAACTAGCCCCAGGCAAGTCCTCCCTGCCTCCTCTTTTTGCATATACCACTCTGGTTCTGTTGCTCTTTGCTCCTTTGTGGTACCCAGCTTAACTCACTGCCTTCCTTTCTCTTCCCACTTTCTCAGCTACATTGAATCTTTATTTTTCTAGTTATGCCATATGACATTTTTTGTATCAATATTTGATGGTATTCTAAAATAATAAATCACTTTCTCCTGCCCCTCCCCATAAATTCATTACATTTTATTGTATTTGCCTATTATTACAAAGATACATAGGAAACTATGTCCCTGACATGTGAACTTTATACTGGTTTATTACTGGCACAATCATTCAAACTTCTGTCCCTCTTTTTTACCTCTCTTTTTCCTTAGCATGTTACATGCCAATATCTCTGCTGGTACTTTAAGCAGCATCTGACAGGCAGCTAGGGAATTACTTCAAGTGGGATGCAGTCAGGCATGTATAGTTTATACTACCAAAATTAAATTTTGGTGAGTACAATCAGTTTGTCTGCATTCCCAGAAAACCATTGTCTCAAACCCTACACCTTTATTCTTCCCCCTTCTTTTTCTTGGTAACACCCCAGAGTGGGCCTCCCCAGAGGCCTAGGTGTTAAGTATCAGCAATATCACTGCTATGGCCTGAGATCAGTTCCAGGCCAGGGAACTAACCCCAACGTAGCGCAGCAGACTTGACTTGCCGGTTGCTTCCCTTAGCAGTGTATTTTAGTAAACTGGCCTGTTCTACCC